GCCTCCGGGTGGGCCGGAGCTGGAATTATCTTCACCCCGACAGGGCCTGGCTATCAACAGTTCTTGACCGAGAGTGTCAGAGAAGCATCAAAGATCGTGGGGCATTGCCGGCCTTGGGCAGCAGCAGAGGACAGGAGGCTGGTGCGTGGTTGTGCGGGGTGGTGGTGGTGATGCTGATGGGCCTGTTACGGCTTGTGTCTAGAGGCGGCTGCAGTGCTGAATCATGGTGCAGTGCTAGGCTCAAGAGCACTAGGATTAAGGGTGTGAGTGCCACCTACCCTAAGTAGTCTGGATGAGATAGAAGGGACTGAAAGAGCTGTGGTTGTCTCTTGTTGCCCTAGCTGTGTTCCTCCATGAACTGTTACCCCTCTGCCACGTGCCACCCTGCCTTGGAGCCAGCCAATAATGGACTGAAACTTCTACAAACTGTGAGCTAAATAAACCTTTCCTCCTTTAACTTTGGTTGTCAGGTATTTTGTTTCTGCAACAAGAGAATCGTAACTAAGGCAGGACTTGGAACCAGAGAAATGGAGTTACTGTTGTGACTATACTGATGATGTGTGGTTCAGGTGCCTTTGGGACTGGCTTGTGGCAAGAGTTTGGAACGGTTTGGAGATGCTGGCTGAAAATATAGAGCTGAGGGCCAGGGATTTAGCTCAGTGGTTCAGGCACCTGCCTCATAAGCACAAGGACCCGAGTTCGAGTTCGAGTTCGATCCCTGGTACCAAAAAAAAAAAAAAAAATGTCGAGCTGAAACACCTTAGACTGTGTACTGTATGGGCGATTCTGATCAGAATCAGAAGACCATAAAGCTGGTAAAGACCAGGTTTGGGGGGATTCTGCTGAGAAGAAGGACTGAATTGGCTGTTGGACTCCACATGATGTGTTATGGCTCCGCAGAAAGTTTGTCTGCCTTCTGCTCGTGTCCAGAGACTTTGCCTGAGACTAAAGGCAGCAGACTAATCTGGCAGAAGAAATTTCAAAACAGTCTAATGTTGGGTAGTGGCATGGATACTGTTGGGGATTTTAGCCAGCTCTATATTGAGAATCAAGAGCAAAGAGCCCAGCAGAATGATTCAAAACTTTTTTAGTTTGGCCAGAAAGGAAGTTCCAGTAAAGCTGTGGATGGCAAAGATAAAGCAGAGAAGATCTTGATTGTTGAGAAGGAACAGGAGAATAGAAAAGATGGCTTGAGGGCAGCACAAAAAGCAGGAGGACTCCATTCTTTACAGCCTCAAAACTGCAAAAGTAGGGCCGGGGATTTAGCTCAGCGGTTCCGTGGCCTGCCTTGCAAGCGCAAGGACCAGAGTTCAATCCCTGGTACCAAAAAAAAAAAAAGTGCAAAAGTGAAAGATTGCCTTGGGAAGAGAGCCCCACAGCGCCATGTTCCAGAATGGCAGTGGCCTGGACAAGTTGTTCCTCAGAATTTGGTTCACAGGGACTCAACCCCCTTCAGCCAAGAAAGAAAGAAGCCTGGCTGCTGCTCCAGCCGGCTGCAGACCATGGCATCATCCACGTGGCACTGGTTTTAGGTGCATGCAGAATGCAAGAGTTGTGGGGTCAGGAAAATTTCCACCCAGATTTCAGAAGAAGGCCTGGGAGGCCAGGCAGGGTGACCCTGAGAGGGCAACCTGTGAAGCTGTGAGTGTGAAGCCGAAGGTGCAGTGGAGACCCCAGAAGGTTAGGCACACCAGGACCGTGGGTCATCTTAGGGAAACTGCAAGGGAGAGCAGAGCTGGCCACAGGGAGAAGCCATGGGAGCCACAATCACCCATAATGCCGCGGGGGCAGAGCCACCCAAGCCCTTTGGAATTCCCAACGTGGCACAGCGTGCTGGGGTTGCTGGAAGTGGAACTATGGAATTTAATGTTTGCCCTAATGGATTTTGGTCTTGCTTTGGCCTCATCGTTTTGTATCCCCCTATTTTAACTTTTGGAAGTGTCTGTCTTGTGCCATTGAGTGTTGATAGTATTTAACTTTCTTTTCATTTTCATTCCTTTTCAGGGGCTTGTAGCCTTAAATCTCTGAGACTTGAGACATGGACTTTTCAGCAGTACTGAAACTGTTAGGACTTTGGCAACTTTTGCAATGGACTAAATGCCTTTTGCATAAAGAGAGAGGCATGAGTCTTTGGGGGGCCACAGATGAAATGTTATGGCTTATGTCTAGATGTCCTCCCAAAAGCCTCAGACAGTTGTGGGTGAGGCTTTTTCTGAGGACTTAATCTAGAGTTTGTGACATCCATGCAAAATGCTAGGCTCAAGGGCGGTAGGATTAAGAGTGTGCTACCCAACCTACATAGTCTGGATAAGACATAAGGGATAGAATGAGTTGTAGGTGGGGATGTAGCTCAGTGGCACCACGTCTGCCTGGCAAGCACAAAGTCCTGAGTTCGATCCTTGAAAACCAAAAAAAAAAAGAGAGAGAGAGAAAAGCTGTAGTTGTCTCCTGTTGCCTTTGCTGTGTTCCGCTGCCATGAACTGTTGCCCCTCTACCCTGTGCCACCCTCCCTTGGAGCCAGCCAATTATGGACTGAAACCACTATAAATAATCCTTTCCCTCTTTAACTTCCAGTGTCAGGTATTTTGTCTCAGCAACAAGAAAAAAATAACTAAGATAGGGCCTTAAGTTGAGTGTCCAGAGGACAAAGGGGCTTCCTCTGAGAAAAAGAAAAAAGAAAGTCTTTTCTGGCTGCTTCCCCCAAAAAAGGTGGAAAGAAGCCAAATACTATAAGACTGACTAGAACTTGTTATAATATTTTATAATGATCGCCTCTCCATCATGAACTGAAATCATAGATGGTCCAACCTTCCTACACAAATACGTTTTAAAAAACTGCCCATACCACAAAAGGGATGCAAAAGCACGGCAACTTCTAATGAAATAGCATAAATGGCTATCGTGCGTGAGCGCCAAGGCCTGTATCCCTGGCAGCCCATGGGTGTGTACCTGTATCCTGTCGGGATTCCAGGGAGGGGGCCGCTCAAGACAGCCACACAGGTGCACAGCCAGTGATTCACCCAGCAGTTGCCATGCAAAAGGCAACTTCATGAAATGTTGAAAGATTCTCGATAGCAAAGCCAGTCTTCCCTAGATTCACACAGAACTGTAATTGCATTCCTAGAAAGTTCATTGTATATTTAGACCATCTTTTTCTAAAACTTCTATTAATTTATAGGCTCAGATAATTAAACACAAGCTTTCATCTACATGAATGTCCTAGGGGACTTAAGAATCTGGATGAAGGACATCTCTCCATCGAACAGGCTGTATTTTGAAGGAGCCCTGCCCATAGTGCTCCGGCCACCATTCTCATAAAAAGAAACATGAGGGCTGGGGATTTAGTTCAGTGGTGCTGAGCCTGCCTTGCAAGTGCAAGCTCCTGAGTTCAATCCCCAGTACCAGGGGAAAAAACATGGGGTTTCAAAATATTCCCTCGGGAATAGTTGAGCACCACTGAGGTAAGAAAAGACAGAAGAGGATCTCTAGCCTCTCAATTCAACAGAACCAAAGAAGTTTGGGAATCAGCCAAATCAATAGGTTGCTAGGATGGACATGGTGGCACTGCCCATAATCAGCACTCTGTGAGGCCGAGGCCAGAGGATCCCACGTTCAAGCCCAGACTACCAAATAGCAACTTAGTGAGACCTGACTCAAAAAACAGGCTAGAGGCCGGGCATCTTGGCACATGCTTGTAATGCCAGCACTTGGGAGGCTGAGGCAGGAGGATCGCTGTGAGTTCGAGACCAGCCTGGGCTACATAGTGAGTTCCAGGTCAGTCTCAACTATACAGTGAGACCCTGTCTCAAAAAACAGGCTAGAGATACAGCTCAGTGCAGAAGCTTTGGGTTCAATCCTCAGTATCACAAATGATGATGATGATGATACGTAATAGTCACTAAAACCAGGAAGACCATCATAAGGCTAAGTTTTCCCACCTGCTTGGGGAAGATGAGTTTCCTCACTGGGCTGGTCTACAGGCTGGTCGGGCTGCCTGGCTGGCAGGCAGGCAGTTCAGCCTCCCTTGGGCACCTCTGTGGCCC